CGAGAAAGGCACTTTTTCTATACCAGCGCAGCAAGCCCAGTCTATACAGTAGTTGGAAACTCCCCGAAATTCACACGTACACATTCGCTAGGAATACCTATAAAGCTAACACTTGTATGTGGTACATTCACAATTGCAGGAAAAACAAAACCCTAATCCATTCTGGTGGAACTGGCAGCTTTGCACAGAACAATCTTACGCAAACCAGTTTAAAGGTAGTTCCTAACGGATGGAGATCAGCTCAGTAAGTTTGCAGCAAGCCTCCCTCCAACCTGGACTTCAAAGCCCTATAAACCCCTGCCAGCTGAGCCAATCGGAATATATAAATTACCAAAGCAGGGGAACCATATTTGCACTCTGCGATATAAAAGGCAATTCCACTGAAGGGATCAGCAACGATGCCTCTTTAAGTGCAATCCTTGGCAACGTGCATTTGGAACTGAACATGTAAAGGATTAAGCTCTTGCTGGGCACTACGAAAATAGCCCCCTTTGAAAGGGGGAGAGAATCGCAATTCTCCCTAACTTTGCTCCCGCTGTTTGAAGCGCAAGGAGAGAATGCAATCCTTTTCCGCAAACGAAAGATCCCAAGACTTAGCCTCCTAAAAAAAAAAAAAAAATCTGGCTTCGGCCACAGCCAGTTAAATGAATCCGCTGCAAAAATAAAACCACCACCGCCCCGCTGCTCCTCCTTTTGACTCTCGTAAAGGTACAGCCCTGTGCAGCCTTTACCGCGAGCAATCTCCCACCATTTTACCTACATCTTTTTTAATATATAATCGCACCTAGATTGTAACGAGGTGGAGGGCAGAGGGGCTCAACTCTTTTGTATAACGAGGACCCACTTCTTTTCACAGCCCGGTCCTTCCCTCTCGGCCTGGGAAGGGTCAAAATAATTCTGCGGCCTGCCAAAACATTGGAATGGCACAGCGCTGAATTGCACCAGGGCAGCCCATCAGAGCAACTTTCTGCTTAGAAAGGAACCGACCCCCCCAAATCTGCAGCAGCCTTATAGTGCCAGCACCAGCTCCCTGGATCGCTGAGATTATTACCTCTCGTAATTGCTCCCACGGAGCCAAACAGAGGTTGCTTCCGGGCTCCCACTCAAAGTATCGGACCAGGGCACTAACGCAGAGCAGGCCCTGACACGTGTCCCTTTAAGCAAAGCGGTATTTCCTTAATTTTATTCCCGAACACACCAAACGGTGCACCCACCAGCAGTTAAAAATAATGGAAAATGTCTTCTTACTGACGAGGCTCTGGCGGAGTCAGGATCGTCCCAGAGATCTCGCGGTTCCCCAAATGAAAGATTTTTCTTAACCCGATCAGAGAGCGGACCCTTCCCTACAACCCCACAAGGAGTCCTTTAAGGCAAAGGGCGGGACTTCGCTAATCACTTTACCTCCTTGCCTGGCAAGGCTTCACCTGTTTGATTTCTGCATACCCGGCTGTTGTTAAAGACACAGGAGCAACGCCCTACAACAGAAGGTAGTCCCGGGTTAAAAACACCCAGTTTAAGGACGACCCATAGTTAAGAACGGAGCCTCTTGTAGCAAAATTCGAGTTAAATACACAGTACTACTTATACAGCATGATACAATTTGTTCCAGCTTACATAGAAATTTAACTTAAGGACAGACCTTGGGAACAGAACTCGTCCTCAAACTGGGGACTACCTACTTACAAAAAATGAATTATTTTATGTGGCTTACATGCAGCAGCGTACAAATCCATGTACACTAATAATAAGAGCAGCAAAGATTTAGTCAGTGTCTGTGGTTATGTTGTACATCTTTCTGTTGTTTATGGTCTCCTGAAAATTAAAACTCCTCTTCCATTTGGGTTTCCAAGATGATGATGATGAATTAAACTTGCAGGCCGCCCAACTTTCAACAACTCTGGGCAGCTAACAACAATCACAGAAATTACAATGAAATCCATAAAAAATAAAGATAAAAATGGCAAGCGTGACAAAGTGAGGGGTCTCACCCTCCCCCACCAAAGGCCTAGGTGAAGAGCCAGGTCTTCATGGTTTTTCTAAACAACAGCACAGCAAATTCATCAACTTCACAGACGTTCCTTCCATGCCCTTTTCAGAACAACATCACTGTTAATGCTACCTCTGTAAGAAGCACAGCTAATTTAGCAGAGTGTTTCTCAATCTTGGGAACTTTAAGATGTGTTGAGTTCTACCTCCACGAATTTCCTGCCCGCCACTCTTGACTGCGGGAGTG